CCGGTATTTTTCATGAGGTGGCCGCAATGGCCTTTTGCCGATGTTTTCTCGTGTGGGATGCGCTCACGTTTTCTGCCTTCTCTGCTCAATCTAAATCTCCGTCGTACCATGTCCGCTTTCACAGAAAGTTTAATCCCTTGAGTTTAGTGCCTTCGGTGGTTCCTTTGACTTTTTTCCACTTTCAGCCCACTCCCTACCCCTAACTTCACTACTGAGCCTTCTTATACACCAGTTTTATCTTGGAACTTGCCTCCTGAGGGGACGTGACCACACCGTTTGCCACCTCTTTGTACGTTATGAACGATACAGCTTGAGAAAACGTGCGAACATAGGGAGGTTCTCTCCGAAGCGAACTTTGGCCACGTATCAGGAGTACAGAGACTGTATGGTCTTCGCCCCTGTTGCCACGACACTTGCGGGTTAGGATTCATGTCCCCACAGAAATTCTGCCTCTCCCCATATCTTTAGGCATACGGAACCTCACACCCGATCCACGGCGTCTCAAAGAAATCTGTATGTGGGCGAAGCGAAGCCATCCGATTTCCGTGGGCGTTACCTTTGAGACGAGGCTGATAGAAGACAGAACTCACAGAGGTAGTTCAAACTGCTTCGCCCATTCAATATGTCTTGCTAGCACTTCCCTTTGAATGGCCATCTTTTCAGGACCAATGTTGTATCTCTCGGTAAAGTCCAGACCAACCTGTAATTATTTAGGGTAGTGTGACGGCAAACTCAGGTGAGCTACGAAAAAATTTGGGTACATGCGACTTCTCAGCTGGGGTACCACCACCTCCATTCCCTTCCTAAACAGTTCTGCCGAAAAATGTACCCGGCATGACCCAAAAAATGTTCGCCGCTGAGGCGTGGGTGGAGGTTACACACTACAGTAGGAACTGCTAGAGCCCAGAAATTTCCGTAGAATCTCAAAATTTTACAGAATTTCATGAGGAGTTTTTAAAATCTCTCTTGAATATCTCAAAACTCAAACGACTAAACCCCACTCCTCTCTAGACACTTCTAGCTTCGCCTGATATGACCTTGCCCCTCTCTTCGAGAATGAAATGAAGCCTTCTAGAGAAGAATCTTCGGTCTTCGCTCATCTTGTAAAACTACAAAAATAAAACAAAACTTTTAATACTGTACCTCTCCGATGCAGTAGACCTGATCACGGTGCTTTGAAATGAACTGTTCCACACCTTCGATATCCTCCAACTTGACCGATTTATTCTTTTTCTATAAAAGGGAATTACAGAATAAGATCATAAAAAGACTTCAGAAAGGTATCTCAAGAATTCATTGTAAAAACTCGAAAATATCTGTACCTGAATAGGATGTATCCCTATAGCGGGCAGCACGAAATCGGGGTGTCTTGATCGCAATTCCAATACGGCGTCGAATTGACTTGCATACTCTGGACATACCACAGCATGCTTCACACCGCTCGATTTGGCCCGTTCGATGACGTCATCAACATCGGACTTGAATTTGTTATCAACCAAATGACAGTGCGTGTCAATCATATACGTGGCCATCTCGAACTGCCAGAGACGTGGTCTGGCACGGTGCAGAACGTCCTGTAACCGTATAATGTATAGCTTAGAAAAACTTGTTAGAATAAATGTATCTATTCCGCCCTTCACGAGCCTTGAAGCCTTGGTTGGCACCAGCCACATTAAGTGCTTGAAGGCACGGGTCAGGATCGAACTGTTGTGTTATTTTGTTCGAAAATTAGACAAGAATTACACTGAGGAACCGTAATGGGGAATGCGGCAAGGGCCAGGGAAAACACTGAAAAATCTTTTGGTGAAGTCGGCCGTGGTATAAAGGAGGGATACAGAGCTGCGAGGAGATGGAAAACGCGGGAGAGCGTTGTACGCAAGAGGGCGCAGACGCCACGTGTGCTGCGATTGGGTACCCCCAGGAGGCCCGTCGCGCGGCAAGAAGGCCGAGTCAGCGGACGAGTTGCGCGCGTACTTAGGAAATCGCGTCAAGTTAAATAGAATGTCCCATTGCACGTCCTTCATCGCACATCACGCGCCGCGACTCGTCCGCCGACTCGGCCTTCTTGCCGCGCGATGGGCCTCCTGGGGTACCCCTCTTTCTCCACGCACCAAGACAGGCAAGCTTAGTCACCGTTTGCTGCGGCACTTCGAGTCTCATGGTTTGGAAACCCATATAGACGATACATCGAAGCGTCGCGGAGTGACGCGCAACCGTAACACGTGACTGGTTGGCGCGCGATGCCACCTGTCATCAATTCGACGTGCCCTTTTGTCGTCTTTCCGCGCATCTTGCCCTGCGCGCGAAGCGCGCGCAGATTACGATAGCCGGTTTTAACAAGGTTTTAACAGTCCGATGAGTGACCGCTACCGTAATCCACGTTGGCACTGGAGCGCGCAGCTACACTACTGCTGTGTACCCACACGTTTCAGCACCAACGTGAGAGGGTATAATGCCTCGCTGGCGAGTGCACAATACCCCCATCCACCACAGCCGCTTGTTGGAAACCCTCCTCACCTTGGGAGGGATTGCCTCCTGGCACTTGTTCTGAACCGTGGCTTCGAACGGTCGGATTCGAGGGAAGCGATGCAATAATTAGCTGCATTTCCCATGCAAATTGCGCTGAGTCACATCTTGAAAGACTACGCCCAACATGATTGAATTGTCAGTTATAAACAAGAGAACGAAATGTGCCAGCAGGGACAGAAAATATTTACTTGATCATTCAGTGGTAGGAGCGATGCACCGTAATGACTACATATGCAGTAGGCCGATGTCACAGTTTGCGAATCGAGCCATTCGCAAACTACGAGATCGGCCATGCAGTTTCCCTTCGATGAGGAAGAGCAGTAAGCTGATGGATTGCCTCAACGCGCTGGTTTTTTGGTTACAACTCATAGATGTTCTAATCAGGGATGGGCCAGGGTCCGCTCGCAGTTGCTGAAGCACTAAAGTATCTCTGACTTGCACTCCTTCGGAAGCTCATTCTGGAGAACTACTAAGAGAGCGAAACATGTGCGATTCAAAGGCATGTTTCGCGATCACCTGAGAGGTGAAATCTCGATCTGCATTCTGCTTGTGTAAGCAAACAAGTTCTACTATACTCACGGCTATATGGTGCACGGCAGAGGTTTATTGCCACCCGTAAGGTCCGCCTTCACAAGGCGCCTTATCTTTGATGCCACACTGGTGTCTTCTACTCTCTCGTCATCTCCCATCTCGCCCCTCAACGTATTGGTCCCTCATGCGGAATTGCGCTTTTTTCCTTGCCGTAGGTCCACAACGCCATGAACACCCAACAAGTGGGAGCCTTACTCGCAACATTTGCGGCAAATTATCATGCGTTTTTTACTGGGTCTAAAATAACTACAGTATCACAATTTAAGGCAGTGACCACAGTTGAAAGGCGCTGCGCTTTTGTTGACGTCATCGATCGTCATTGACGGATTTGACCCCTCACAGCCCCGGGAGTGTGGTTGGGACGGTCTCTAACGAAGATCTACTAATAACGTTCAATGACATTCATCGGGGCCGCATCGCTTCAACTGCCTTCAAATTCTGATAGCCACGTCTTGTTATCGTGGGACGTGCTTTTAAGTCTATCCCACCCACATGCCGTAAGCGACCCGAGCCCGAGATCTGAAACTCCAACCACTGAAAGGCGCTTTCATTGCAAACACCACATGATTCCAACC